GGAAGGACGAGGCGAGACGGTAGGCTGTGTGTGTGTGTATGTGTGTGTGTGTGTGTGTGTGTGTGAGTGAGTGAGAGAGAGAGACAGAGAGCGAACAGAGGAGGGGGGGGGGGGGGGGGGGGGGGGGGGGGTTTGCCGTTTCTCTGGGTGACGTCACGAGCTTTCCTGAAAGTCAAAACAACCGTTGGCTGCGGTAACGGTAGCTTTCGTAGCTTCTTGGAAATCCGTTTGGAAATTCGTTGAAATCGTTGTGCGTCAGCTCGTAACGTTAACAGCGACGGTTGACTATCACCTGACGGTTCAGCCTAGCTTGAAGTCTAGCATAGCTTTACGTTACGGTTTACGAGCGGTTTATGAACAGCAGGTGCACGGGAATACCATCGCACCTGCCGCTACAGGTAACACTGTCAGCTAGCAGTACTGTTGTGACAGCAAACATGACATAAACCCCGCTAAAGCTAGCTGAATAATGTGTTTTTATGTTGTGATAATTTCAGTTAGGTGGACATGGTCCCGTGTTTAACGGCTTACTTGGAATGATGCTTAGAGCTAGCGCTAAATGGGTCACTGTCTCGAAAATGGGTATCGTTTTTAAAATTATTCTCATGTTTAACATCCGTACCATGCTGCATGCATCATGCTGCAGTTTAACAACCACTTCGCACCGTGGCGTAGATGATGCAGTGCTGGTAACTTAGTGCAGTGGTGCAGTGTAACTTAGTAGCTGCATTTACTCTAGTACTCTACTTAAGTACTGTATACTTGGGTATTTCGATTTCGTGCTGCTGTATATTTCTCCTCCATTACATTTCAGGGAGAAACCTTTTTACTCCACTACATTTATGTGACAGCGTCAGCTATTGGTTCTTTTACAAATTAATATTTTTGCATACAAAACATATGGAAAGCTTTTAAAATATATATTCTTTTTTTTTTTTTTTTTTATAGATTACCCAACAGTACAAGTCGATGAACAGAAAATTAACTGGCAAGTATTTTGTTCATCAACATTTCGTCATTAAAGTAATTTTTGCTGCTTTTTCTTTGAATTGTTTTAATAATTTTAAAACAATAATTTGTTTCAGCCCTATTTAAATCACTTAAAAATAGGTCCATCACAAACAAATGCAGCTATGAAATGCTGATAACATAATAATCTGCCTACAATGAGTACCATTACTTTAACTGCATTTTGCTGCTAATACTTTTGTACTACTTTTTGTAAATACAGGATTTTAACTTGTATTGGAGTATTTGTATAATCTGGTATTGCCACTGTACTTCATCCACAATTTACTGTGTTTGTCTCATTCATGGTCTGCTCAGTAGATGAGTTTCAGTTTGACAAGTAACATTTACATGTTCACATTCACCCCAACAGCTAAACAGACTCATTACATTCAACACAAATTTTTGTATGTCATGTTGATAGCTATAGTAGAGTGAGACAACAAAACTAGGCCTGGCTTGATTTGTGACTGCACAAGTGCATGGCTGAATAGACCTCCTAAGGGGACCTGGGACAAAAAATTTGTTGGTTTGCCACCTTTGGACCCCACTATACATATGAGAGTCATTATTTCCATCGTCAGATGTACTATATATGTGCATGTATTTATATTTTCAGTACATTGTCAGGGAGAGTCCCACGTTTTCCCCCCCTAACACTGAGGCTATGGTTTACAACACTGAAATGGGAATACAGGATGGGAAACCCCTCAAATCTTTTGAGGGGCAAATTTATCGTCGTGCAGTGTGGCTTCATACAGCTAGACTGATTAATAGAGGGGTAGCTGACTGGTCCCTGCCCTTTACATCAATTTTTCTCAACCCCCCCTCTCTCCATATTGGTCTCTATTTCTCTGTTTCCTCTGATTATGTTTCTTTTCTCACTATCTCCCTTTCCTTGTCAATTTTTCCCCTTGTAATTGCCTCTGGAATGAAATATCATGAAATAAATGCTGTCTGGCAGGTGCTTCTCCTGGCATGGTTGGTTCAGCATGGCAGCGGAGATCTCCATGGCAACAGCTGCCCTGGTGACAAAGGGTTGCCACTGTCTGGACATTCCTCTCCTCTTCTCACCTTTCCTGTCCTCTCCTGTCCTGTCCTCCACTAAGTGCGATCAGGGCCATGCTAGACCAGATTAAGGTTAAAGCTAACTGAAGCTTCATTGAATTACACTGCAGTGTTAAAGCTTAATCCAGAATTGCACAGTGCCTATAAAAAGGATTCGATCCCCTTGGATGTAATTACTAGGGCTGGGTATTATTTGAATTGTTTTCTAAATCAGTGCTAATATGATACTAAAACAATACAATTTACCCTATACCTTAGTTTCTACAACTCTAAACATGTATATAAAGAGTTTTAAAAAAATGTAATAGTAGTATAATATAATGATATAAAAACTGGTAATAATTTTATATAAATCAGGAACTATCTGAATAATCAATATTACGAGCCTAATCAGACATCTGATGGCAGCTTTAGATAGTTTTTGATACTATGAAGACATTTCAAAGATATTTTGGTTGGTACCAAAAACAAATTGAAGATTCATACCCAACCCTTATAATTATATCCTGTGTGGTAAAATAATAAAACATACAAAAGTCCAAGAGGGGTGAAAGGTTTATAACGATTAATCATTTCTTGTCTTAAAATGTAAGTGAAATACACAATTACCAACAACCAACAGTCCAAAACCCCCAAATTTTCAATTATATAAAACTTAAGAAATGCAGCCTCACATTATGAGAGACTGGAAGCAATGAATATTTTGCCTTTTTCTTTTTTTTTATGACTTATACAATTAGTAGATTATCAACATTGTTGATGATAAATTTCAGTCAGTCACTGCAGAAAGGCACTCATATGGTTAGAAAGACCTCAGCAGTAAAACAGTTGTGATCTTAATCTACACTGAACATCTTTTTTCAGTAGCAATTTGTTGGCAGTTTGGCTCATTGAGTCCTTATCAGTGAGATGAAACATCATCAACATCTCCTCAATTTGAGCTTATGTAATCTTGACCTGAGCATCGTAGCAGCCCCTTTGATCAAGAACTTGAATGTATTGTTACTAGTCTGGCTTTGTACACCTGGATTTAGAGTGGTCACAACTCTGCTGCCTCAACATAAAAAAAAAATCCCTATCACCTACTAGGGTGTGTGTTTATGTGTGTGTGAGTACGTCTGCAGCCTTCGTTATGACGCTGCAGTCCCTCCAAGTGTTGGCGGCAGTGCAGACACTAGCTGATCTGAATACTGATTTCCAGCTAGATAGCAACAACTGCTAGCCTAGCTGCCGTAGTGCTGATCTCCATTCAAGCTGAGAAGCGTAGCGTTGTTGCGCGTTGTGTAATACAGTGTAGTAGGGTGCATTTGAGGTGAACACGGCAGCTATGCAGAGAGAGAGGGGAGGGAGAGTGGAAGGGAGACGACAGAGAGGTGCAGAGATTTGGGCAGAGAGAAAGAGTGTGAGAGCATCCTTAACTGCCGTTGTTGCTATTTATAGCCAAGCCCTACTCCACAGTCCTGAGATGCTCTCCAGCCTCCCACATACAGACGTCAGCCTACACACACACACACACACATGTTGACAAAATAATTTGACATGCAGAAATACAGCGAGCACAGAGAAGTAGATAGGCTTTGCACACAGCACAACCTGCTCACCAGAACAAAAAAAGGTCTATGAATGAATGAGACACAGAGCTCAGAGATGTTTCTTTGGCAATCAAGGTCAGTTTTTGCTTCATCAAGAGCTCTGCAATAATTCATCCTGTTTATCAGTGAGTGTTAGCGACAGAAAGAGGAACTGGGTGCATGATTGGGTGGGGGAAGAGCTGAGGGCGCATTTGTCCTCACAATAACTAGTTGTTTGTCTTGTCAGATTGCATGAAAGGGCTTTGGAGGGAAAGAAAGGGAGCAGCAGAGAAGAGAAAAATAAATCCATGCCTTCTTTTTTCTTTTTTCTTTTTTCTCCTTTCACTTCCTTCCAGGCTGAGTCACTGCTGGTGAGGAGGAAGGTCTGGAGAGGGAACGAGAGAGGAGGAGGAGGAGGTGGAGGAGGAGGGGGAGAAGAAGAAGAAGGGAGGGAGACAGGGAGATAAGCCACAACAGGAAGCAAAACGACACACACACGTACACAGACACAGTGCGTGTTTGTGTGTGTGTCTGAGAGAGAGACTGCGCGAACGAGAGGGTGAACGGGAAAGGAAGGGAGGGAGAGTGACGCGGAGGCTGGGAGAGCCTACCCCCCCCTCCTCTCCTCCTCTCCCTCTCTTTCTCTCCTCTCCTCTCCTCCCCTCCTCCCTCTCTCTCTCTCTGTGGAGCAGGCGTGTAGCGGCATCAGACTCGGCGTGAAGGAACCATGAGCGATGTCACCATCGTTAGAGAGGGATGGCTCCAGAAACGGGGTAAGTACATCCAGTACCTCTCTTTTTCTACTCCCCTCCTCTCTGCCTCTATTTTCTATCCTCTTCTTCTCTGCCTCTTGTCTAGACTGAGGGCCTGGCCGTGGCTGTCCACATGTGCCGGTGGGAGGATGTGAGCTTGCGACTGACAGTGTGTGTGTGTGTGTGTGTGTGTGTGTGTGTGTGTGTGTGTGTGTGTGTGAGTGATCACATGGATGTCTGATTATCTAGTGTGTGAGTGTATACGTGTGTGCATTTGCCCCCATAGGGATGTGTCTCTTTATTATAAGCTTGTCTGGCAGTTTGTTTGCTAAGCCTCTATATACTTCAGTCAGGTTGTGGCTGAAAAAGAGTGTGTGCATGGGTTTGTGCATGTATTTGTATGCAGTGTGTGTGCACTTGATAACATGTACCAGGCCTGTAGTTACACTGCTGGTGCATAGTGTTTTGTCAGGCCAGTGTGTTTACTAGTCTGTGAAATCAAGTTAGTTCTGTCTCTCTGAGGTATTATTTAACATAGTTGTGTCTTAAGTTCGTAGAAAATCCTGAATTGTGTCACTGAGAGTCATATGACTTGGGGTTGGTTGGGGTGGAGTCAAGGGGGACACTGACAACACATCCTGTTTACAACCAAATGAATGAGAAATTGGGAAAAAAAATGTAATAGTTGAAGAGCATCTAGCAAAGATAGCACTTCCCTGTCCTCAGACAATCACAGCTCATGTTCAGTGAGCGGTTGCTGCAACAGGTGAAAAGTCATTTGTAGCAGGGCCAAACTGAACCAGAAGCTGTCAAAAAGTGATAAACAGTGGCTCTGTGATGACTGCAGCAGCAACTGTAAGGCACTTTGGGACTTTGTCATTTATTTATTTATTTTTTTATTTTTTTATAAACAAACCATGATTTCATGGGGTCATGTGTCTGTTGGTGCTGATTCCTTCAGGCACAAGTACATGTGTACGTGAATGTGTGTGTTTTAGAGAGAGAGCCTCAGGGGTGCAACAAGGGGGATTTCCAAACTTTTAGGCCAATGAGCATCATCCCCCTGACTATGTGATGGTGTCTAGGAATGTGTAACACAAACTGTTGAACAGGAAGTGACATGGATACATAACAGACTGCAGGGTTCTGGGTAATGTAGGCTAACACCATGGCACAGCAGGAGAACATGTTGGATAACAGAGTGCTCCTTACTAGATAGAGAGGATGCTCTCTCACACTGTGTCACATGTGCACACACATACACAAATACAGGGCACACTCTCTATTGCTGTAATTGAGGGGAGGATCTTTGTCTATGTGTGCCAGCATGCCAGTGTGATCCTCAGACAGTGGTCTGTGCATATTAAGAGGAACACATCGCCCCCAGTCACGACGCAGCGCTACCACTGTTCATCAGTGAGTGAGAGAGATAGAGGTTGTGTGTGTGTGTGGGGGGGGTGTTGTTTGTGTCAGGAATATGAATGTTTGTCTGCATCATATGCTAAATCTTTGTCTGTATTTGTGTGTGTGGAGAGAAGCAGGGTCGGGGTGCTGACTCACTGTCCAGGTCGTGACTGCAGTCTCAGTCGTTAGACAGCTTTTTACTGAAAAGAAAGCGGGAGAGAGGCCGAGAAAGGTAGTGAAACCTCCATACACACGCGACCACACACACACACACACACACACACACACACACACACACACACACACACAACCTTTTTTACTTATGAGACATATAGTTGTGTTTTGACTGTCTGCAAGGCCTGGTACTTTCTAACTCTTGTATCAAATAATGCACTTTGTTTTGTTTTGAACTGAGCGACAGAAAGACGGTGACACAAAAAGAGAAACTAAAAGACTGAGTGAGTAGAAGATTGGAAAGAAAGACCGGTGAAATAGATGGGAAGGTAGCAGAGGTCTCTGTATGGAAGAGAGGTGCTCACATGCTTTGTAGATGCCTCTAAGACCTCTAATTAAATCAAACATGAAAAATTTTGTATTGAGTATTAGAGGACTACCTGAGTAATTGCTGAATTCTTGTCTATTGTGTGACTATTAAACCTTGCAGATTAGATGAGCAAGGATGTATCTTACTCTTTTTCTCATGTTATTAATGGGTAAATCTGAGTAATATATTATCCCCATTGTTGTTTGTGTATCCAGCTATGCAGATGCTTGTTAAAACAGGTTGTGTTTTTGGTAAACTCATAATTAATAATTTTATGTTAGATGAAGTTCTTGTCTACAACAGCTGTTGAGTAAATGCTTCCAATATGGTGCAATTTTGTTGCCAAAAAAAAGTTGTTTAATGATAATTAAGTGCAGAGGTTTTTCTTCAAGTAAGCCATAATATCTTGGTCATGATCTTATAGACCACTTAATGCATGACAGAGATTTATATCGATATTGCTGTAAATTTCATTCTCTATTGGTGTGTGTGATAGGCTCGCGGTTCAGGACTTACTGTTTACCCCTCTACAATAATATACAGCTTACACATGATTTAGGTACAAAGGAGCAGTATGCAGAGACTTAAAATGCTTTGATGATGCTTTTGGTTCTGCAGAGCTTTTTTACTTTTAATCACATGGTCTTCAGCATAAATGCATCCACATGTCAGGAAATGATAAGGCCTATGTGTAAGTCTATGTGTAGATTAGTTTTACCGATGCATTTGTGGCAACTTGGTCTAGGACTTTATTTGACCATTATTTGACTAATGAGTAACTGATAGTGATGATGAGGATTTAATGAGATAGTTGTTTCTGAATGTTTCTTAAAGTCTTTTTCATACTCTTTTAACTTTTTTTACTCTCTTGTCTTTTGTGGTCAGAGTAATGGGTATAGTAATAAAGTGAAATGATTGATTGATTGAAAGAAAGTGTTTCCCATCCGTAGCACAAAGTATTGGTGATAACTTCTTGCTCATGCACCCTCATGGGTATGCTCAGCTCTCTGCATGTTTTATGAAGGGACTGTGTGTATCTGTGAACTTGTAGCTTTAGTTTGACAAGCCAAAAACCATTAGAGTAATTGGTCAAACATGACAGATGTGTACAGCACATTGCCACACACATACTCACACACAGTAGGCTGATCAACTTACATATTTCAGTGGATGGTGATCACTGGCAGTAGTGTGTATGTGCATTGTCCTCAATAAGTAGCACCGGGCTTCGGGAGTATGTCAGACTGTCAATAGGAAACATTTACACAAAATGACAAGAAGGGGGGGAGTAAAATGTACTATAACAAAATAAAAACTTCAGGATTTTTGCTTTTAATTCCTTCCTTCCTTTCTTCCATCCCTCATTCATTCAGTACAACTTCAATTACAAAGTGCTTCACACAGATGTTGTAAAAGTTGAGAGGGCAGATAACAGATAAAAAACAAAACCACAACAGATGATACAAATAAAAACAAGCATACAAGAGTGGTTAAATAAAGCTGTAAAATGCATGTATATAACAAAAGCATAAAAAGCAAACATCTCTACTCATTGTATATGAAGTCAAAGTTTGCAATCATCACATGGAGACAAACCTCAGGAACATCACCTCTGCAAAATACAGCAGTATGTCCTCAGATGACCGAGCCTTTCAGTGCTCACTTGCTCACTGCCATGGTGATGATTTCCTTCCTCCTTTCATTAAATCAGAGTGGGGAGTGCATTCGGCTGCATCATTTCTTTATCTTTGGAAATAATGAACAGCAGATATAACAGAATCTGTCAGAGTCTGGAAATGTTATTTCATTCTTAATTTTTAAAAAGATGCTTTAGATGAAAGATGCTAGAAAATTTGGTGGATAGATGTGAGCTACAGGTACAGCCTTGGAAGGATATTGTGTTGTGTTGAATGTTGTGTTTAGGGGTGAAAATCACATGTTGCTATCCTTTCAGTCAAAAGAAGTTAGAGCGCTATTTTATTGCACCTTTACAAATCTGAATCTGAAGTGAACTCCACTTCATTTCCACCTAGGCTAGGAGTTTACCTTCTGTCAGCCCGTGTGAGAATACAGAGGTCACAGTCAGCCAGTGTAGTCGAGGATACAGTTTCCTCCACCAGCATCAGCCCACACAGCAGTCAGCACAACAGATGGCCAGGAGGGAGGAGAGGAGGAGAAACACTGAAGAAGAGAGACAGGGAGAACACCATCATCTTTTCTTTGACACTTTCTGTCCCCAGAAGTGTTTCTAAGCAAAGCTACTAATCAGATGAGATACGGCTTTGTCAAAGTGGAGAGAGACTTGTTACTAACTCATTTTTGGAGATAATGATTCTTTGTCTCCCAGGAGGGTTTAAGCATCAGACATAAGATAAAGTCAAGAAGATGTTGCACATACTCTTTATTTTACAATTGCGTTTCAAATTAATTCATGACTTCAGTTAACTTCTTAAATAGATGTGTATAGCTGTATGTTCTTTAGAGTGTAAGATTTTCAGACAGAAAATAAATGAAAATATTGTCAAGCATATATGGTGAAGTCGCAAAGTTTTTATAATGGATTCTTGTTATATTCTGCAATTTTATTTATTGAGTTAGATAAGCGATTCTTGAACCGCAGAGAAATTACAACTATAAGTCTCATTGTACACATTGTTTTTGAGGTTAAGGTTAGTTCAGTTTCACCAAATGTCAAGTGCAGTTTACCCAAATGCTTCTGTGACAGCTCAAATAAAGGTTTAAAATATGTTTGAGTTCTAAAGCTCCCTTTGCACAGGACTATAATCAAACATAATTAAACTCTGTAACATACTAGAAATTCCACTACAAATAACCTACCATATTCCATCTAACACAGTCATCTCATAGTGTTAGAATCAGCATCTCAGTACCCCAGAGTATTTGTCTTTTTTCTTCTTCTTTTTCTTCTTCATTGATTTCTTTGAAAGCAGTTTGGGTAAAAATTCTGGGGGCTCATGGGGGTTATGGGCACATTCATACTGACATGATTTTGTATTGGACATGATGCAGTATTAAATTACATGGCTGCATCCCACACATCGACTGAAATGTT